TTATTATTATTATTATTATTTAATTTTTTAGTTATTGCTTGCGTCGTTCTAGGAGTCTTTTACCCGCTTTATTTTTCTAAATATGGCTGACTCATAAAGATCTAAAAAAAAAAAAAAAAAACAAAAAAAATTTTTTTTTTAAAATTTGCCAGCGCATTGGGATTTGAATTTAGTCTATGTCAGCTTTAGACTGAAAGGAAGTTCATTGATTGATTTGTTTTTAAAAATCGTTGAGAAGGTTTCAGTCAGACATACAGGTATAGAAAAAAAGTTTACGAGTTTGGGCGTCGCGAAAAAAAACAATAATAATAATAATAATAATAATAATAATAATGTTAGTAATACCGAGAATAATTGACGTGTAAAGTTTCCGATTTGAAAAAAAAAAAAAAAAAAATCATTTCCTGTCGGTAAAAATAAAGCCTATTCAGCTAACGGATTTTTTTTTTTTTTTTAATATAAGTCGTTGTTGTCATTAATTTTTTTTTTTTATTTGTGGGGGTGGTGGTAGAGGTGGGGGGGGGTGTAGGAAGAGGGTTTCAACCCCTTACAATAAAAATTTTTTATTTAATGATTTCATTTTTTTTTTAAATGAAAGCATAAAATAAAAATGATGATAAATAAATATAAATACATTATTGACCCAAATATTATTTACAAAAAAAAAAAAAAAAAAGAAACAAAACAAAAATACATTTGAAATAATAATAATAATAATAATAATAATAATTTATTTAATTAAATAAAATAAATAATGATCTTTGACTTAATTTCCTAAAAAAAAACCGGATCCTTGTCATCAATTTAAATATTAAGCAATAATAAAACTAAATTCTTTATTATTATTATTATTATTATTAATGGCGTCTTATTGTTTGTCGATTTAAAAAAAAAAAAAATCTCGCACGTAAAAATTAAAATAATTAATTAATTAATTAATAATAATAAAAGTTAAAAATTACAAAAATTAATTAATGCCGTATAAAAATTATTATTATTATTAGTTTTTGCAATAAATTATTATTATTATTATTTTTTTTTTTATTTGACAATAATCGATACCCTACATACTCTTATCCGTTTATTTATTTACATTATTAATTAATAAAAATTAAAATGGAAAAAAACATTAAAAAAGCGATAATTATTGTCATTCGTTTTTTTTTTAAACGAAATCCGCCAGTTTTTTTTTTTTTTACATTTGATAATTTATTGCCACGAGCCTAACTAAAAAACTATGCGCGAGTTACATTTTTTATCAAAATTAAATAAAAAAAAAATTAATTAATTACTTATTGATATGAGATTCTCTGTCGACAGCAATAATATTTAAACGGGGAGCAATTAGGAGGAAAATTTATACACGCGTGCGGAATATCGAAACGTTTTCGCGAAATGATGTACTAATAATAATAATTAGTAAGGTAACGGTTGGTTGTGGGGAGGTGGATGCACCGAACACGGTTCGATCACCGAGCAAGTTAACCAGGATTGATCATCATTTGCGCAGTTGGCTTTATGAGGAACAAGGAAAAAAAAGAACGAAAACCCGTGATAGATCAAGAAGGAATCTCGAGATCCTAATTAAATCCACAAATGTTCTCACACGAAACCTGATCCGGGAATAAAACGAACTCGGGATAAGAACTCAAAAGAATCGATAATCCAGTGAGGGATCAGTGAGGAAAGATCTGGAATAAATTTTGAAAAAAAACTGAAGGCGAAATAATAATAATAATAATTAATACTTACAAATGATCGACGTATACGTAAGAAAAAAGAGGAAAAGTTTTCAATAAAAATAAAGCATTAAATTTAATTTAAAAAAAAAAAACGAAAGACGATTTGCCGCGTAAAATCATAATAATAATAATGATATTTGGCAAAAAAAAAAACTGGACCTATTAATTTAAATTGAAGACGTCGTAGTTAGTTAGTTTATACCTGGCTGGGCCGTTGACGTACGTAAATTGCTATTAAAAAAAAAAAATACTAAACGTATTGAACTAGTTTTTCTCTATGCGGAAGGCGCATTTGGCGCAAAATACTAGGAATTTAACTTGAAGTTCAAGGTTTCTTATGTAAAACTTAATAATCTGGTAAATTACACGGTTTTAATTCAATTAATTAAACATAGTTATTATTATTATTATTATTATCGTTTCATGTTGTTGTCGCTATTATTATTATCAAATTTACGTAACGTATTAATTAATAAAAAAAAAAAAATTCGATAATTCATCGTAAGAGGAATGAAAAAAAAAAATCGAATTTTTTAATTTATTTATTTAAATTAAATATATAATTCCAGGCATTTCATTCGATGAATGAATGAATGAATGAATGAATGATTGAAATAGAAAAAAAATCATTTAAAAATTCTTGGAATTATTTATAAAATTAGGCGTGAGAATAATAAATAGCTCACAACCTTTTAACAGGAAAAAAAAAAATGATGATGATGATGATGGCATACCATTGATGATGGCATAAGGTTTCCCTACGGTTACCAATCCAACGAAAACTTGAATTTTTTTTTTTTTTTTAAATTAACCGTTTAAAAACTTGTAAAGCGATGTTTTTTTTTCTATTTTATTCCAGAATATTTTATTTTATTTTTTTTTTTTAAATAATTGGCTAACAACGTAACGTTTTTCTATGGAATTTTTTAAAATTTTCTTATGACCCGTTTCAGTTTAACGATTATACGCGAATAATACCTGGAACGGTAAAAAATTATTCACTCTGTTTTTTTTTAACTTTTCGTCTGGAGCCACGACAAAATTTTTTTTTTTTTAAATTACGGGGAAATTTGAGAATCTTTGGTGATGATTTAATTTAAAAAATTTTTTTTACGTTGAATAATTTACGCACAAAACGCGTGCGTTTAAGCGATTCCAGCAATTTTACTTTGTAAAATCTTTGTCACTTTTTTTTTTTAAACTTGATAATTTTCCCGCCTTTTTTTTTCTTTATCAGTCAACACGCGCGGTCACACACAAATACAACATTTACTAAAAAAAAAAAAACAAATAATAATAATAATAAAAGGTTTGATTCTTTAGGTTTCGCGGTACGAGGAAAATTACGAATTATTTAGTACGTTTAAAAAGAGAGAGAGAGAGAGAGAGAGAGAGAGAGAGAGATGCTCCGCTGCGGAGTAATAATTATCCCGTAATAAAATTCCATAAAAATCGTGGAATTCATTCGAGTTTCATTGAGAGAAAAAAAAAAAAGAAAGGGTCCTTTGAACCTGTACGAGAGAGAGGAAACACAATTTAGCTGACGTAAAAAAAGTTGTAAAAATTTCAGGTTGAATATCCGGCCAAGGTGATCGGAACCGATAACGTCATCAGAACCTTTACCTGTTTTTTTTTTTTTTTTTTTTTTTTTTTTCATTAAAATGCTCGCGAGATGATACGTTTTTTTTTTTTTTTTTTTTTTTTTTTAATCTCGGAGGACCAAACACGTCATTTTTATTCATCGTTCCATATATTATTTTAAAATACGTCACGTAATGTTTCTTCCTTGAAATTACTTTTATTATTATTATTATCACC